ATTTGATATGTAGGCCCAGATTTTTGTCATGACAGAGACCACCGAAAATCAGAATTCCCTCCCACCAAATGCTTCCTTTCCGATTTTCATAGTGACAGGTTTGGGTATGACCAGACTTCAACTATGCATGGTTCACAGAGACAGCAGGTTTATTAAATGGTCAACTCTACTCATTTAAATCCATTTTCCATATCTCAGTTGTCTGAAACGGAGGCTGTACAGAGCAAATCAAGTCAGAACAGGTGCGTTTCAGTGAATTTACTTTGGACAGCCAGGATACCCCTTTGAAGAGGTGAGGTACTGCATTAGATATGGCCATGGAAGGAAAGCTTTGGGATTGCGAAAAGTAGAAAAGAATGTTCCTAAAAAGTGCATACACTTTTTGGAATGGTAAAACAACCTTGAATTCAAATATTTGTTTTCGTGAGAGATTAGTTGAAGGGATGTCATTGTATCGAATGTTTTTTTAAAAAAATCAATGGGTGAATTTTCTTTTAAATAGTAAAGTCAACAGTGGACACATAATGTAATTTTATATTGGCATGGTTCTTGAGGTTTGCCCATGGCGTATACTAGGTGAGTTTACATGAAGGGAGAAGGGATTGCACTCGCGCGCGCGCGTGTGTGTATATGTGGGGACGGGGACGGGGACGGGGACGGGGGCGGGGGCGGGGGGAGGGGGGAGGGTCAAGGGTGTGCAAAAGTAAGTACTACATTAGGTGCAAGAGCACAAGTTAGCATAGGGCCTTTAAAGGGCCAAGATTTTGGGCACAGGACAATAAATTGGCATAGGATGTATTGGGAACCAAGGGCAATGGGTGTAAGGGAATAGGATAGTCTGGGTCATCAGGAACCATGGAGGTGGGTAGAAGGGCATGGGATTGGTATGGATGTGACATGAGGAATGTGTGGGAGGGGGTAAGAGAGGTAACAGCTGGGGCAATGTTTTAGCTTTATTTTGTTTTTATTAAACTGCAGTGTAGTGCTGGAGCCTGCAGTGCCAGGCCTTGTGCCCAGCCCATATCTGCAGCCAACAGATTCTGCTTTCATTCCAAGGTCACCAGGCCCACCTCTAAAGGAACTCTGATACTCTGGATTGAAAATATAACCTTCTGGGGCATTTTTATTCCCAGGTTGTGTTAGCAGAGTCAATAAAATTCCCATCATTTTTGGGAGTTAGAATCAGTGCCATAATAACTGTGACTTGCTACATAATTAAACACACATTAAAGATTTCAAATATCAGCTATTGGTTGGAAGAGTTAAAATCTGAACTGCTTTAGTGATTAAGGATACTTGGTGCCAATCACAATTTTAACAATCTTCTCAGAATCATCCACGATCCGTGACATTTGACTAGGCAAATCGTTGAATGATGACCGATCAGTGAAGGAGAAAAGGAACAAGATGGCATCAGCTTTGTCCTTGCAGGCCTGATGGGAATTAAATATATGATATAAGGACTGCTCACTATAAACAGGACATTCAATGGTGTTCTCAATTTCAGCCAATACCATAACATTTCATCGTATGGTTGACCAGGGCTGTAAAATCATAACTAAAATGCACACAGTGATCTATGTTCAAGCACACAAAGAAAGGAGGTTCAAAAATAAAGAACTGGGCAACCCAAGTGTAGAGTGAAGATCTACAAATTGAAAACACAGAAGAAAGCTGAGCTATTGCTGTATCACTGCCAAGTAGGAACAGACATGGTCCATCAAACCTGTTCCATGTTGGTTATTTGGTTACATCCTTCCACCTCAACTAAACTAAGAGAAAAAGGGCAGAGTAGATCATTCAATCCATTCATTTACATCAAGGCTGACCTTTAACTTTAACTGCACTTCACTACCCAAACTGTATATTCCTTCTTTCCTCAAAATTGAAAAGTCAATTCATCTCAGCGTGGAATATACTGAACAGCTAAGTAGCCACTGATCCCTGGGATAGTGAATTCTAAAACCTACAAGTATAACGTAATTTTTCATCTCAGTCCTAAATGGTGATCCACTGCACCGAGACTATGCCCCCTAATTCGAGTCTCTCCAGCCAGGACAAACAGCCTCTCAGCATCTACCTATCAGATCCTCTCAAGAATCTTCTGTTTCAATGAGAAGACTTGTCATTCTTCTAAACTCCAGTGAGTGTAAGCTCATTCTACCTAGTCTTTCGTCATAGGATAGCACTCTTATTTCAAGAGCCAATCCAACAATTTCCATTACAAAGTTGGCATACGAATTTTTAAAAAATTTGTCAAGATAAGGGCAGAATTTGAAAACTTTAAAATGAGGACACAATTACATTAGTCCGCCTGGTCCAATTATCTTATATCCTCTAACCTCATCAGAAAAATACATTTGGTCTCAATTTCCATTGTGCAGCATTATGGAAGTCAAGCAATATATTATTAAAACATTTTTCAGAGAACGCAAACTTCATTTTGCTACAATTTTTGGTTATGCTTTTTCAGTTATAATCATTTTTAAAGAACGCACATATTCTTTAAAACTACAGTATTAAAGGTTAGGCTTTTGAGTGTAAATCAGATACAGATTCAATTAGACAAAAGTAGAAACAGCAGATGCTGAATACATTATTCAAATCAGCCTTTCAATCTGAAGGCATTAGAGAAAAATGTGATTCAATCAAAATGCCTCAAATACCAAAGTCATCAAATTGAGTGCTATGACAAAGCTCAGTACCCAGACATGCACCAGCTAAGCTCAATTAGCAGCACTACTGTTTCTTAGTCAGCGAATTGTAGGCTGAAGTATCACTCAGACCAACAACCTAGCATAACGCTGAGAGAGATGCCTGGAATTAAACAAACGGCCCATCTGGCCTGTTTCACTGGTTTGGACTGTTCATCTCATTATTGCTTGCCACTCTCCAGGGCACCATATAATATAAAACATGGTTTAGTTGAAATTCATTAATATTTTCACATAAATACAGGTTCTTCAGGAATGCATTAAACTAAAGCATAAGGATTAAAACTAGATATAAATATTTCACTCGGATTTTCAGAAAACTCTTGTAATTGCAAAGCTTTTAAAGATTTAATGACACACACAAATTATGGGTAAACAGTTGTCATTCAAAATCAGAATGTAGTTGATTTTCTTTGCTCTGTTTGGGGTGCGAATGAATAGGAAAGCTTGGTCCATGTCTGCTGTGATACCCACTGCTTACCCAACCAAAGGTGATATGGAGCACTTTGCTGCTTACAGTATAATAAAAGTTGATGATGGATCAAGCTAGATAGATGAACTAAGATATATGAGATGGGATTTTTAATTGCTGGGAGGCAATGGCCTAGTAGTATTATCTCTAGACTGTTAATCTAAGACCCAGGTAGTGTTCTGGGGACTGGAGTTCGAATCCTGTCATGGCAGATGGTGGAATTTGAATTCAATAAAAGTCTGGAATTAAGAGTCTAGTGATGATCATGAATCCATTGTCAATTTCCGGAAAAACCCAACTGGTTCACTAAAAACCTTTAGAGAAGGAAATCATCATCCTTACCTGGTCTGGCCTACGTGTGACTCCAGACCCACAGCAACGTAGTTGACTCTTTAACTGCCCTCTGGGCTATTAGGGATGGGCAATAAATGCTACCTAGCCAGCAATGCCCTCATCCCATGAATCAATAAAAAATAAGCAAGGTGCAACTGGAGTGCTTCAATTAAGTAACAGAGTTTTAATGAAGGTATTGCAAATTAATGTTGCATGCACAGATTTTAAGGTGCTTGATAAAGCACCAAATAATACACTTGTTAATAAAACTGAAACCGCGCCCCCCCCCCATGGGATTAAATGCACAGTTGCAATATGAATACAAAATTGGCTAAAAGATAAAGAAAGTAGGGCTTAACAGTTATTTGTCAGACTGTGGATGGGAGGTTTAAGCAATAGTCTCTCAAGGGATCAGTATTAGGACTACTGTACTTTTTGATATATAGAATCCCCACAGTGTGGAGGCAAATCATTCGGTCCATCGAGTTCACACCGACTCGCCGAAGAAATTTGTTAATGATATTAAGACTATTGCAATTTTTGGTATATGTTAATGACCCAGACTTGTGCTGAGGGCATCATTTCAAAGTTTGCAACTAACACAAAGCTTGAAAATGTATTAAAGATAATAGTGGCAAACTTCAGGAGGCCATAGACAAGGCAGACATATAGCAGCTAAAATAATGCTGTGTTGTAAGGCATTTTAGAAGGAAGATAGAGAAGAAATATACACTATACTTAATGAAATTTATTTGTATAAATCTTTGAATGCGATAAAATAGGGGGATGGGTCTGGGTGGGATGCTCTGAGGATCGGTGTAGACTTGTTGGGCCGAAGGGCCTGTTTCCATACTTTGGGATTCTATGAAAATAGGTTAAAATAAATATGTGAGATCGTGAATGTTATTAGTAGAAGCAGAGAGTACAAGATATAGGAAATTATGATCAAACATTATAAATTGCCGATTAGGCCTCAGCTAAAACATTGTGTTCAATTCTTGGCACCACACTTTAGGATATGTGTCAAACCACGAGATGTAACCGAGATTTACCAGATTGGTACCAGGGCTGAGGGACTCCTGTTACACAGTAAAAGTAAAGAATCCATGACGATTTCATCAAAATGTTCAAAATTGTGATGAGTTTTGACAAAGTAGATAGGGAGAAGCTTTTTCCACTGACAGCAAAGGAACCAGTAACCCAGATGATTCAAAAAAGACAAGGAAGAAACTCAAGAATAGTTCTTTTTCTTACTCAGTTGTAATGATCTAGAACATACTGTTTAAAAAGGTGGTGACGTAGATTCAGTAGTGACTTTCAAAGAGAATTTGATAAATGCTTGAAAAACATGCAGGGCTATGGGCAAAGAAGAGAACACTAATTACATAGCTCTTTTAAAACCTGGTACAGACATAAAGATCTGAATGATCTCCTTCTGTGGTGTATGAATCAGTGAGTTTAAAGTGAGCCAAAGAGCTGGTGAAGTGATTTGGGATGGTTCTCTTTGTAAGTTTTTTCTCCTCCCCATTAAGGAAAGGCAACTGAGTTCTGCGGGTATCCAATATGCTGATTCCAGTAGTGCAAAGATCAGTGTTGTGTGGGGAATAGTAGGTATATCTCCTGAAACAATGAGTAAGGGTTTCAAAATAGTATCCCTTTCTAAAATAACCTTTCTCCTTTCAAGCTGCTCACCCTAATAAGAATATGGGTGCCATGGGCACCAGCCACCTCCAAACACAACCAGTCTCGTGGCCAATGGCCGAGTTTCATTACAGCAGTCGACCATTGAAAGAAAAGAAGCACAAACTGACATGGTAAAAGACGTAGACATCCAAAACTACATTTTCAGTTGCTGAATTATACTTTGTATTATAAGAGTTTGCCAATTGTTTCTCTTATTTGTGCAAGAAATGAGGGATGCACCTACAACATTCAATCTATGCATTCTTTATCTAATGATTTTGATGCTTTCTTACTGCAAGAATGTGGTCAAATTTCTTCAGTGAGGCCTCACCGCAGTCCCAGAACTGAAAGCGAAACATGATCACTCGACCACTCTCCACCAGCTTTGCTGGCCAATAAACTGTCCTTGTCTGAATTCCTGCATTTAAGAGAATCATGAGACTTTATCATTAAAACAAAGGTAGATCTTATATTGGAATCCCAAATATTGTGGGATATTTTTCTAATTTTAGGAGTTTGCCAAAAAAATAAAATCAAGGCACAGCATCTGGTCGACAAACACCCCTGTACAACAGTGCTTCCTGAACCTTTGCCTGCTGTGACTAGATTTTCAAGCCTAGAAATGATCACAGCCCCTCAATGAGCAGTGAATGGGGGAGAAAAAGACTTTTAACACTAGGGAAGGCAGTTGCCCATGGCAGTCTCAGAGCTCAAAAGTTCTAGCTAATGACCCTACTTGTGCTCCTACCCTCCATTTCAAGAAGCACTGCTATACAGCAAAGTACTCTGAACACACACAAAGTCAGGACACTTCTGTTTAAAAACCCACAAAGTACACTAAGTCCAATACACTGTGTACATATACACTCACAAAATAATATTGAATCGACACAGATATGCGGCTAGTACAGAAATAGTGGTCCACATATACATAGATATATATGCAATCTAGAATATACATACATAATTAGTGAGTATACATAGACACATAGAGTGGAAATAAGCTGTAGCATCACCTGTGGTCTCATGATGTACACTGGAGATTTCCAAACCAGCAAACTTAGCTATTGCTGCGGTTTTTCCTACTCCACTCTTCCCAGACAGAAAGATCTTGTAACTAGCAATGTCAGGTGCAATCTGTGGAGGGAGCACTGGTCGCTCAAGTAATCCTGGAGGTAAACACATTTATATCACAGTGTTACCAGAACAAATACTAACAGAAATGGATGCTAATGTGTTGATCTGCCAATAGATAATGGTAGTCTGGATTCCATCAACCCACAATTCCAAAAATTAAATCTTCCATCAGTTATTCAAGATGCTCCCAAACTTGAACCAATGTAAGAAAGTCAGTTGCTCTCGTAAAATGTTTCTAACCACGACAAACAACAATGATGCAAACAATGAACTGAAGAGTTGGTATGATTTCCAGAATAAATGCACCAAAAACAAATCTGAATGGCAACCGGTCTAAAACATACAGTAGACTTAACTAGCTGTTTGTGTATTGTGCTGTGCTCATTCCCACTGCATTTGTAGGTATGTCGCCTTCTCCTCTTGCCTCTAAAATCTGCAATGAGGGATTAAACATGATAACACCACACGCCAAGTCACAACAAGTGTGAAAACACACTACTCCCTAGGTCAAGGCAGTTGTGGAAAGGAATTAAACATGCTAAATCATGAATAAGTTAGTTTTGAAAGACCAGCTTGGCTTTTCCTGCCCTTTCCCACGTGTCTGTATGAATGCAGATGGTTAGAAATAAGCCTGTTCTTTGTGGCCATCCTTTCACAGTTGACACAGCGGCAATCTTTTTCTTTTATTTACCAAATACTTTTCTCTTGTTTTTGCGCAAGATGCTGGCTAGATATTCCTGGCCATCCACAGAGTTGAGCCAGTCCGCTGTTACTAGAGATCCTGACTTCACCAGAACTGCCATTTCTTGGGCATGGAGCTCAAGGACATCCAATTTCCATTAGAAAGCAACCTGAAAAATCAAACAATTATTACTGTTAAAATTGTATTTCTTGATGTGTCCATCTCTAAAATGTCAATAGATGGTGCAGTGGTTTGGATGTTGATTGGTTATTTCTTTGACCAGAATTCATGTCAAAGCAAAACAAATGTAATTAGTACAAAGCTGCCCATTGTTCAGCACCAATTAGCAATCCCAGAGTGACCCCAGGGATTAGCGAGTTCTTTGAATTACATCTCTGTCCCAAGCACCTTAACCAGTAATATTTATAAACATTCTTGCAAATATTAAAAAAAAGGACAAAGGATCCAGTGCCATCAACTAGGTCCTCTGTTGGTCACTAGGACTTCTCATTGATTATTACCACTTGTTCCAGATGCGTGATTTATTCTTCAATTTACAAGTTACATTTTTACCCTTTCTACCCAAAAGCTTTCCCTTCAGGCATAAGTTGCAAGTAAGGCACTTTAGTCAGACCTCAGGCATCTGACATTAAACTCAGTTACTTCCCACTGGAAGTTCCAAACAAAGCTGGAGCTTTTATGATGGCTTATTAGGTAAATGTACAAGTTGATAACAATAAACTAGAAGGGCCTGGATTAGACCCCGACATATAGCAACCGCCATGATAACATCTGAAATGCATCACTGGGGTGAGGAAAGGGAAGAAGGGAAATCAATCTTCAGTGACCTATGTTGGAAGAGGAACATGCACAAACAAAGAATGAGGACAAAATCAAAGGTGTTGTCTATTGTAAAATTACTAGTCTGGAGAACATTACAATCACGCAGTCTGAAGGAGCCAAAAATATGGATGAGGCAGGGAAAACATTTTACAAAGATTGAAGCAGGCAGTCTTTGTAATGGGGATGACAAAGAGTTGGAAGCTTAGGTGGAGTCAAATAGGACACTGAGATTGTGAAGGCTCTGGCTCAGCCTGAGACACTAGCTGAGAAGGAGCTTGGAACATAAAATTTAAAGTTAACAGTGGATACAAAGAGGAGAAAATGAATGCAAAGGATGAGCAGGGTTAATGGGTCTGGTTCCAGGGACGGGGGTTAGCTGGCCAACCAACGTGAATCAGATTGGTACCAACGGTACAGGGCTCATTCCTAGTTCTGATTGAGCTGCATTTGCAATATGCCTCCTTGTCCTTCCTGTGACAGAGACTACAGTGCTTGGGTTGGACCTGCCTTTAGATATGTAAATGAAGGAAAATAAGTCATGGTGTAATGTTGGAAATGCAGCAGCCAATCTACTACTGCAAGCATTTCCAAACAACAACAGAAGAATGAGCAGGTTATCTCTTTTTTTGATGTAACCCCTCTATTTAAGAAGTGGGCAGAGAGAAAACCAGGATTATAGACCAGTCAGCTTGACGTCAGTAGTTGGGAAAATGCTACAGTCGATCATAAATAATTCAATACTTCAGCATTTGAAAAACAAAGTCAGATTCAGACAGAGTCAGGAATTCTTTGAGGACCAAACTAGTAAAGTTGATGAAGGGGAGCCAAGAGATGTCGTTTATTTGGACTTTCAGAAAGCGTTTGACAAAAGCTCACATTAGACATTGGAGTGTAAAATTAAAGCACATGGGATTGGAAATAGTGTGTGGTTGACGGATAGAAAACTGGCTGGCAAACTGGAAATAAAGAGTAGGAATAAATGGAAACTGAAAGAGCTGCAGATGCTGTAAATCAGGAACAAAAACAAAGTTGCTGGGAAAGCTCAGCAGGTCTGACAGCATCTGTGAAGGAAAAAGCACAGTTAATGTTTTGGGTCCGGTGACCCTTCCTCAGAACTGATGGTGGCTTATGATGGCTTATTAGGTAAATGTACAACTTGATATCAATAAACTAGAAGGGCCCGGATTGGAATAAGTGGATCTCTTACTAAATGGCAGGCAGTGACCAGTGGGGTACTGCAGAGATCAATGCTACGATCCCAGCTATTCACAACAGAAAGTAATGATTTGGATGAGAGAACTACATGTAATATCTCCAAATTTGAAAAGGACACAAAGCTTGACAGAGGGGGTGATATAGTGAGCTGAGAAGAGGATGCAGACATGCTTCAGTGTGATTTGGACAAGCTGAGTGAGTGTGCAAATGCATGGCAAATATAGTATAATGTGAAAAGATGAGAGGTTATCCACCTTGGTGGCAAAAACAGCAAAGCAGGTTATTATCTGAAGACTATAATTTTTTTTGTCTTTATTCATTCATGAGATAAGGGCATTGCTGGCCAGGCAGCATTTATTGCCCATCCCTAATTCCCCAGAGGGCAGTTAAGAGTCAACAACTTTGCTGTGGGTCTGGAGTCACATGTAAGGTGAAGATGACAGATTTTCTCCCTTGAAGGGCATTAGTACACTAGATGAGTTTTTCAGACAATCTATTCGTGGTCATCATTAGACTCATAATTCCAGATTCTGTTTTGTATTGAATTCAAATTTCACCATCTGCCATCATAGGATTTGAACCCCAAACCCCAGAACATTACCTGGGTCCCTGGATTAGAAGACCAGTGATAATACCACTAAGGCCATCGTCTCCCAATATATTGAAAGAGGGGAATGTGCAAAAAGACCTGGGTGTCCTTGTACACATCTCTGAAGGCATGCATCCAGCTCCAGCAGATAGTAAAGAAGGTAAATGGTATGTTGGTCTTCATAACAAGTGGATTTCAGTACAGAAGCAGGGATGAGTTGTTGGCCTTGGGGACACCTGGTGTATATTGTGCATTTTTGGTCTCCTTATCTGAGGAAGGATATTCTTGCTATAGAGGGAGTGTAATAATTTTTTATCAGACTGATTCCTGGGATGGTGGAACTAACATATGTAGACAGGTTGACTAGGGGTGGCATCTGATAGAAATCTATAAAAATCTAACAAATGCTCTAACAGGACTGGACAGAGTAGATGCAGGAAGGATATTCCCAATGGAGGGGCAGTCCAGAACCAGGGACCACAGTCTAAGGATATAGGGTAAACAATTTAGGACTGAGAGGAGGAGGAATGTCTTCACCCACAGAGTGGTGAGCTTGTGGAATTCACTACCACAGAAAGCAGGCAAAGCAAAGCCATTGTATGATTTCAAGGAGTTGGATACAGCACTTGTGCTAAAGAGTCTGACAGTAAAGCAGCAACAGGCTATGGAATTGGATGATCAGCTGTGATC